CTTCAATAAAATAATATTTTCCATCACATCAATAAATTTTTTTTCTTTTTCAACCATACATTTCCCATCATATCACTATTCAAAATCAATTCTTCCCCCAAAAATCCCTCCCAAACAAGCACGGAATATCATAGCACAAACATCATGTTTCTCGAGGACAAGTGTATCCTAGGACTCTTCTAATGGTAAACTTGATGAACTTTAAAAGTACCAAAATTAATTTATTCAATCCCTTGAAATAGCGAGTCTCAAAGTGATCGCGGTCCAAAGAGATATTGTTACGCCCAAGTCTTTTTTCTTCTTCAACTCTAAAAAGTCTACTCATTCTCTAAATAATCATACTTGGATTTTGGAAACTGTTGTTACGCATAGATAAACTAAGGGTCGCACGCGGCATTAATTAAACTACGTGGCGAATAGTTTGGGGGCCCCACAACTTACAGAATGACGCGGACGACCCAATTATGTAAAGCCAACCCGGATGAGACTGGGCTAACCCCATTGTACGTAGACCCCCAATGTAGGATCCGGTCCAGACGAGACAATGGTAAGATCCTCAACAGATCTTGTGCTGAATGATTGACAAGACAACTCATTGCCATCGCCACTGCTGCACACCTATGTGGTCAAGTCCAAGCTGCCAAGCTAGGTCTTATGGATATAAAAGTGGCATTAGCATTTAATGCTACGATTGATTGATGTATATGCCAAGAGAGGTCAGTCGTTGTGATGAGGCCACGTGCCCTATCGTCTGACGGGCCTCGCTGATCTTGCTTAAGTATAAAAGTCCACACTTAATGCCATTAAAGGGTAATGCAAGTTTAGACTCTCAAAATTATATTTTTGCTACACATATTTTTACCATTCTTTTTATTTACTTGAGGCTCACGTTCGAAGTTCTCCCACACTTTAAATTATTTCTCCAACTGCATTAACTGTAGGAGTGCACGCGGCCAACTCGCCCCATTCGGAGAAGGCCACGTTCGACTAACTGTTTGTCCAAGTGCGCAGAAATTCAGCTTGCGTAGATGTGAGAGGCCTTAAGATCTGTTGACCACATCTTTGGTACGTTTTTTGGGGTCAGGGGGTCGTCCACATCTCAGTTGGGTCGCCTTTATGTCCTCTGGGGTCAGTACGAACATTTCTATGTTATCTAGGATCCTATATCTCTCTCGGAAGGTCTATAATTCACTCTCCTTTATGTCTGTTGGCCACAAGGAGGCCCCTCATCTAATGTTATAGTTTATAGGGTCCTCTGGCATCATACATACACTATGAGGGGCCCCTCATTGCCTCCACGATCCGTTCAGTAGGAATCACTAGAGGTATACCCGCCTCGGCACAAATTAGGGCCATGTTTACTCCGGAAGACCCCCTAGACACGTTCTTTTTCGAAGAAGAAGCCATCTAACTTGACAGATGCAAGAAATATTTCGACAATGATGGATACTAACGCAAACTCTAGATACAAGATGAGAAAAACGAGTTTGTTCGCTGGAAAAAGAACGAAAGAG